TCGCATATAATTCCATTATATTGACATCTGTATCAACTGTAAGATGAATCTTATCAATCTATTCTGATTTTACTTAAAACAATCTTGAACGTATTACAAATTAATTCTTAACTTTTAAAGTTCATGCAACGGAACTGCGTATCTATGCATAAAAATGAAGCTAACATGTACCTAACTGCATGCGTTCGCACTGCGCTATTTAAACAACACCTTTTCATTGATCCCATTAGCACTGCGCCATTTAAACAACACCTTTTCATTGATCCCATTTGGTGCCAACAGCATGCAACCACTGTGCATGTAACAGAAAAGTGCTAATTAAGGACCTTTTATGAAGAGTAAAGGTGACACTAGCCCATGCAGCGGAGCTTCGTCTTTTTAAAATTGGATCTCGTATATACATGAGGTGGTTAGCACCTCTGGCTTTACATGCTAAGCCCGTGATCGTCGAATGATGTTTAAAAAGGTTGTAAGTTCGTGAGATGACATAAAAATCAAATCTGTGCGTACAGACGATTTTAAAGAATGAAATTACTATGAGATTGTTTGGTTAAACTATTAGGCCTATTAAAGTGGATACTTAGGAGATTAATCATTAAGACATTTATTAATTATTCTAATAAATTTGTACAACTTTTTTGTTTCTCTTCTTTAAATCTCGAACACTTGAAAACATTTTTTTCTACTTTCGTCCATGACTGAACATTCCAAATAAAAAGAAACGCATCGCCAATAACAACGGATTTACATAAAAACAATTACGACTTCTCTAAAAGGTCCAAATTTACGAAAAAGTAGCAATAGTTTTGCCATCTGAAATATTTAAGTAATTTCAAAATTTAGACTGTTTTTATAATTATTTATAATTGTACGATATAAACATTTATGGATTGATTAATAAATAGATTGTTTTAAGGTAAATATACAGAATTTTAACGTAAAACAACATTCTTTTAAATTTTTTAAAACAATTTTAGGAACCGAATCACTAATGAAATGGAAGTTAAGAAAGTTATCAAAAAAAAAAATAACAAGTACTATTAAATTTAAATTAATTCGTCTGAAAATACGAAGAAGAAAAAACACAAATTATAGAAAATATTAAAGATAAGTAAACTTTAAAGTCAAAATGCTCGAAATCAGAAAAACAGAGATTTGAAATATTTTTTCCTCTGTCTTACTGAATGAAATTCCTTGACCCGCATCTTCCACTGAAAAGCAAAGAAAGGAATAATATATGATATGTGGTAAATTCTGACAAAAATCGCCTGTCCTTTTCTAATACTTTTTTTTTCTCTCGACCGTTTAAACGGTTAAACTTGCACCGCTATGTAATGCTATAAAAGATTTCCGAAATAATTTATGAACTTGAAATTTACAATCAAATGAATCATTTAAATCATATCAATACCAAAGCACTGACTATTTAATATCTAGATTATGGCTAAAGCCAGAAATATTATTGACAATTGTTATAATAGCTCTTTGCTACAAAAAGGTGAACGTCTCTTTCCGATGTATTTTTCATAAAATTCTAATTGCGTTGGAAAGCTGTAAACAATTTTGTTTACCAGTATTACCCTACTGAGTGTGTGTTTCCTTACACAGCAGTTTATATTGACCCTTAAAACATGTGACCATGTTTACAATATTTACAATCAGATATATTGACAATGAACGTAAAATTGGAGTGTTCACTTTGACATTTGGCCAATTAGAGGTCATTTTGTACAAAATGTTCTAAAAGGCAATCATTAATTATTTTTCAACTTCGTACTTAAGGTGGCCTTTTAACATTTTTGATTCGAGCGTCACTGATGAGTCTTTCGCGTCTGGTCATTATAAGTCTGTACCTTTGTTGCGTTTTTTATACCTCGTGTTGCCAGCTAAAGACTATGCCCACTTATTGCTGATGACCTGGAATGGGGCCTACAGAATAGAGAATAATGGGCAAAAGGTACAGAATATTTGGATTTAAACAAAACTAAATAATAAAGAAAAGGTGGACCCCAATCAAGACCGTCATCGCTCATCTGGCTGTGGCTAAGATCATAAAATAGGTGATTATTGTCTCGCCTGCGACGAAAGTTGAAAACGCGAAACATAAGGCCTACTATCCGACTGCGGCGTAAACAATTTGAATACGGATTTATATAACAGAAGGTAAAAGACCTGGATGTTTAATACCTTGTATGTTGATGCCTTAATATGTCACGAAATTTCCGTCTTCCACATGTCCATTGTCCTTGACCTCATTTTCACGGTTCAGTGAATGCTTGCAAACATTGTATACAAGAAGTTTTTTGTCATATGAAATGCTCACTTATTATGAGTAATAGGATAACTATACTTGACATATATGATCCTTGCAACGTCTACAAGTCCGTCCGACAAGGCATCATCTTACCTTGTCGTCTAGAACATGCATGAAATAGTTGCCACTGGACGTAAAGCAGTCAACAATCAATCAATCTTACCTTGACCTCATTTTCATGGTTCATTGGTCAATGTTAAGTTTGATATGGTTATGTCTGTTTCTAAGATACTAGTGTCAACGTATATTTGTTCCGCCTAACAGAAGTTCCACTGGAAACTTTATTATAAACAATGTCATAATATCTCTTCCTGTTGGAACAAATATTCTGCACTATTTATTCCGTTAGGAACATATACTGTAATATTTATTCCTGTGGAAATAATATTCCAGAATATATATTCCTTTTGGAACTTATATTATGAAGGAACTTCTATTCCGTGACTATAAGCCATAAGTCAACTATATTTGACCTCATTTTGATTTACTTGGATCATTGATAATGTTAAGTTTATGTGATACTTTTAGTTAAACGTTTTCAATATGATAATCAAAATGGGAAACACATTCCAGCGTGTGCACTCATGTAAAGTTATATATGACTGTCAAATTCATTTGGACCCCAAGGGTGACTGGGGAATATGGTTACTTTGGTCTTCTTCCGACCGGCAAGTGCACGCTCTCTTACAAGCCTACGACCCACAACTGACAAATAGGAAATACACCACAAGTTCTGGGACAGCCTTTTCCTACTGCCTACACACAACACGAGCAACAAACCCTTCAATCAATATATAATAAGGTGATCTGGTATGATTGCCAATGAGACAACTATTTGACATACAAACCCTTCAATCAATATATAATATGGAGATCTGGTATGATTGCCAATGAGACAACTTTTTGACATACAAACCCTTCAATCAATATATAATGAGGAGATATGGTATGATTGCCAATGAGACAACTGTTTGACATACAAACCCTTCAATCAATATATAATGAGGAGATCTGGTATGATTGCCAACGAGCCCACTATTTGACATACAAACCCTTCAATCAATATATAATATGGAGATCTGGTATGATTGCCAATGAGACAACTATTTGACATACACACCCTTCAATCAATATATAATATGGAGATCTGGTATGATTGCCAATGAGACAACTGTTTGACATACAAACCCTTCAATCAATATATAATGAGGAGATATGGTATGATTGCCAATGAGACAACTGTTTGACATACAAACCCTTCAATCAATATATAATGAGGAGATCTGGTATGATTGCCAACGAGCCCACTATTTGACATACAAACCCTTCAATCAATATATAATATGGAGATCTGGTATGATTGTCAATGAGACAACTGTTTGACATACAAACCCTTCAAACAATATATAATAAAGAGATCTGGTATGATTGCAAATGAGACAACTGTTTGACATACAAACCCTTCAAACAATATATAATAAAGAGATCTCGTATGATTGCAAATGATACAACTATTTGACATACAAACCCTTCAATCAATATATAATACGGAGATCTGGTATGATTGCCAATGAGACAACTGTTTGACATACAAACCCTTCAATCAATATATAATGAGGAGATCTGGTATGATTGCCAATGAGACAACTGTTTGACATACAAACCCTTCAATCAATATATAATGAGGAGATCTGGTATGATTGCCAACGAGCCCACTATTTGACATACAAACCCTTCAATCAATATATAATATGGAGATCTGGTATGATTGCCAATGAGACAACTGTTTGACATACAAACCCTTCAAACAATATATAATAAGGAGATCTGGTATGATTGCCAATGAGACAAATATTTGACATACAAACCCTTCAATCAATATATAATAAGGAGATCTGGTATGATTGCCAATGAGACAACTATTTGACATACAAACCCTTCAATCAATATATAATATGGAGATCTGGTATGATTGCCAATGAGACAACTATTTGACATACAAACCCTTCAATCAATATATAATATGGAGATCTGGTTTGATTGCCAATGAGACAACTATTTGACATACAAACCCTTCAATCAATATATAATAAGGAGATCTGGTATGATTGCCAATGAGACAACTATTTGACATACAAACCCTTCAATCAATATATAATATGGAGATCTGGTATGATTGCCAATGAGACAACTATTTGACATACAAACCCTTCAATCAATATATAATAAGGAGATCTGGTATGATTGCCAATGAGACAACTATTTGACATACACACCCTTCAATCAATATATAATATGGCGATCTGGTATGATTGCCAATGAGACAACTATTTGACATACACACCCTTCAATCAATATATAATATGGAGATCTGGTATGATTGCCAATGAGACAACTATTTGACATACAAACCCTTCAATCAATATATAATATGGAGATCTGGTATGATTGCCAATGAGACAACTGTTTGACATACAAACCCTTCAATCATTATATAATGTGGAGATCTGGTATGATTGCCAATGAGCCAACTGTTTGTCATACAAACCCTTCAATCAATATATATAAGAAGGAGACCTGGTATGATTGCCAATGAGACAACTATTTGACATATAAACCCTTTTATCAATATATAAGGAGATCTAGTATGATTGCCAATGAGCCAACTGTTTAACATACAAAATCATTTGTTATTGAATGTTTAGCCGACTAGGCATTTCTTTATTTTCGAATACAGCTATGATATTTCTAGCCGTTAATTCTGACATGGCGCTTCTCGCCTTTTCCGTCGCACTTCCAATATGAGGTAGAACCAAGCAGTTATTTAATGTTAATAGAGGACTGTCTGTCGGTAGTGGTTCCGGAGTTGTCACGTCAAGTCCAGCACCGGCTATCTTACCACTTTTTAAAGCGTTGTAAAGATCATCTTGATTCACTAACCCTCCACGACTTGTGTTGACAAATATCGCTGAAGTTTTCATTTTATTAAATGCTTCCGCATTAAATAGTCCAATGTTATTTGCTGTTAATGAGCAGCATCCCAAAATAAAATCGGAATGTTCCAGTAAATTGTTAAAAGTAACAAATTCAGCATTCACCTCCTGTTCATTCTTAGACTGGCTGTTGCCACTGTAAATAATTCTAGAAACACCAAATGGCAGAAGACATTTTGCTACAGCCAATCCTATTCGACCTAGTCCAACAATGCCAACAGTGGCGCCATCTAATCCATGTCCAAGCATCCATATTGGATTCCACGTACCCCAACTACCATCCTCTACGGCTATCATTCCTGTAAAAATATATCATTGACCAAATCAGTTTGTATCGATAGAATATGAAATATTTCGATGATGCTGATGATGTATGCCTGTGTTTATTTTTCTGTACAGTTGATACAGGCTTATGAATTGAGTCAAGAAACTACTTTAACTTAACACTTTTACTAAATTCTTTCGTATCTATATATGTGTGCAAAGATTTAAGAAACCTTATTACAATGCCCATTCCAATTAAACTTTCAGAATAAATCTTTTTATCGCTATTTTACGAAAATTTCCCTTGATCTTACTGACTGATAATTTCCTTTCTCAGCGGAGTCGAGTGATATGAAAATTATCGCTAGATACTAAGGGGCACGTGCCGTTGCTAATGAAATTGACACGAAATTGACAACGTCGTCATAGGTAAAATAGCGATAAACAGATTATCATTGGTCATCTCAACTAGATTGCTTTTCTCGCTTTCGCCGCACCGGCTCAAGCGAGAAAATCAATCTCGTTGAGATGATCAACGATAATCTATAAGTATCTATGAAAGAATTTAATTGGACAGGTATATTAAGTAATTTGTGGTGAAGAAAACCCTAACTTAATCATTTACCAGATATATGCCTAGATTACGAAAACACCTATGAAGTGCAAAAGAAACATAATAAAACTGGGGAAATTAACAGTAGGAAACGGAAAATGGTCTCTTGAGTCGTATTTGTTTATAGGAGAGTTTTCAGTGAGAAACTGAAAACGGGTTGGTTACCTCAAATGACGGACATATTTTGAATCAATGCTATAAATAAGAGTAAGCACAAACAAATCAATATTGTATGTTATTGTAATTTAAAGACATTTTCAATTTTTTTTTTCGTCTGTGATTTTATGAATGACTATTTATAATTATCTTTTATATCTTAACAGGTAATTCGGGTTCCATTGGAAAAATATCACATGAAAAATTTTAAAGAGATCTTCTTTGATGCCTCTTTTAGAACCAAATGTTTGCAGTTTTGCTTAATTTTGCATTTTAAGAGGGACCAATGTGCATCACAAACTACAGGTACTTTTCCTCATTATAAACTTCTCAAGCAAAAAGTAAATGTTTGATTTGTTTGTCAGGATAATTTTATTGATATTACTCCATAGCTTTGTGCTTCTATTCACAGTTGTGGCGTGATAGTCAGTTTACAAAGAAATATCTCAAACCGGTGCTAGGGGCCGTTTTAAAATTGCAGTGAGGTGAGAGTTTTTGCTCCTCTTTAAAGCCTCATTGTGACTTTGAGACGAAGAACAGCAATACAAGCGCTGTTCCTTTGCTTTTTTTGTTTGTTGCTGTGCATGTACTGATTTTGTATCATGAATGGATACCCCGTATCCTCCTTCGTTTCTATTAAATAGGACCTAAAATGGGAGAATCTTACCTTCTTTTAATCTCCTTGAGGTAGCTAAAAGCAAAGACATGGTGAGTTCAGCTGTCGCATTGGTCAAGACATCCGGTGTAAAACCAACCGGAATGTTTCTTTTCTTACATTCCGTTAAATCAATATGTTCGTAACCCACCGACATCGTACTAATTGTCTTTAATTGAGGACCTGAAATGAACAATAGTGGATATTTTCGCAATAAAATCTGAGAATCTCTTTTGTACCTAAATAGATTATAATTATGTTTCATTATACCTCAAATCTAAATACTTCATTCCCAAATAATAGATAAATGTTGACTTACAATTTACGAAAGAACTGCTGGAAATGTTTATAATTTTAAATTTAAAGATTGAGGCGGTTTTGGGTGTCTCCGGCCCCATATGGAGCTACATTAATGGTTAATACATACATTTTTTTACAATGCCAGCTCCTAACATTGTCTTGATGGTGCCGATCATCTTTTTCAAAATCACGAAAGCAACCAAACAGTACAATAAGTATTTCTTTCAAAAGATGAATCTAGTCTTAAAATAATTTACAAAGAAGTTACAAGCTTATGAAAAAATTCTAAAAAGTTGAAAATGTTCAAGGCTATGTTCCATTTAAAATAAAAAGACTCGCATAAAAACACTTTCATTTTTTTAAACACTATCAAATTATATTGTTACTCATTTGGGGAACAGTCCCCAACTTGGTTGATTGTCTCCAACTCAGTACATGGAACAGATCATCTTTTAAAATTACTCTTCCGATCTGGATACGACCATCGACACAAGAAAGAACTTTATCAAACTAGTTTAAACATAAATTGACCATGTTGACGAATTTGCTAAAATTCGTAATTTTGACAAGATTTTCATGTAAGTTTACCAGAACTCCGAGCTTAATTTTTAGATTTTTAACTTAATAAAGTCACACATACCTGCCGCATCTAAAACATCTTTATCAATTTTATCTGTCAACAAACAGAACAAAGCGTCTACCCCTTTGGCACCTCTAAGAAGCTCCTCTCGCGGAATCCGGTCTTCTCGGTCCCATTGGGACACCACAAACTTATCTTTAAGCAAGTCAATGCCTCGTACAGGCACTCGCCTGGTTACAAATACCTTTGGTCGAGCGTCAGTAGCCATAGTCTTTGCCTGATAATTCAAATAAGTCGTTGAAACACGAGTAATTTTAACTGCCGATTGATGTCTTATCAACAGTCTTATCATGGTTTGTATACAAAGGGAAATAACTCTAAATGAATTGTTTCATTTGCGTTGGGGTTCAAAGCAGGTAGACCGTATTAAATAGGTAACTTATCAGCAGTACTGTATATATTAACCGAAAACATCAATACAAGTGAAAAATTCGCCTTTTACTTGGTGTTCCTGATTGTAAGAAGAAGAAGATGAGAAGATTACTGAAAATTGTGAATTGCCGTAGCATTTTGTATTTTTGAATTAAGAAATTCCAGCTGAAATTCATGTTGATCAGGACGACTTTTCTTTCTTATAAATCTTTCCTAGATAGTAATATTATCGAATGTGGGAGACAAGTTATAAACAGTGCTACATCTTTCATCTGAATCCAAAAATTCTTCAACAGATACAAATTTTCTTATTAGCCAGTAATCTTAAATACTTAATCCTTACGCCCACAATTTTTCCCAAAAGTCTGAGAGTGCAGTCGGGAGAAACAATTGGAATTTTTATTGTTCCTTCCGGCTGCACTAATTGGAAACTACTGCAAAACATTTACCAGGATATAGAATAGACATTCAAAATTAAAAGTAGGATTTTAGCGAGAAATCATTCAAAAAGGGGATCTTTATTCTCATTTTTTATCAAGATATACTTTATTATTATAAGCATATCACAGACGACACAAAGGTGAACAACCTGAGTAAATTTCTCAACAATATTATGATATCAGTTAATAATTTACATTTTATCAGGAAATATCATTTGTTTTTCTTGATTTGATTCATTTTTCCTTTCAATTTGTTTTTTTTGTGTGTGTGTGTGTTTTTTTTTTTCTTTTTTCTTTTATACTTTATTGTAACACAGTCAACCCTGTTCATATAATTACTCGCCAAAATGTAATACTAAAAATATATTAAGGAATGAGTGTATTTACATAATATCTATGTTATATGAATTTAAGGCGCAATTACTATATAAGTAAGCCGCCTATCAAAACCAATAACAACAAAAATGCAGTTTTTTATCGCTTTTTTGTATTGTATTCCTATTTGAACATTCTATATAGGTTCTAATAACATTTTTTAATTGATTATATCTCTAAAAATTAAATATTAATGTATCAATGCCACATACGTGTTTACCATCTTTGATATGCAGATGCAGATCAATGAGTTAAAAATGTATACAAGGGCACTTTAAAGTGTTACATTTGACCGTCCGTCCTTCCGTCTTTCCGTCCGTCCCATTTTCGTTGCAAAGCTTGAGCGGGGGCATTCGTGTCCTCGGATACATTATTCTTTTATTCCCTTTTTGATGATCATAAATCAAATTAAATACAAAGGCGACTTTTTTTCATCTTTTATTGCAGTCTCATATTAGTTTTACGCTTACTAAAAGCACATATAAACCATGGTGATTTTACCTAGAATTACCATCAAAATTAGACAAATGCTGATAATGAAAAGATTTAGGTATTGTGAACGGCAGTTTATAAAAATTAATACTTCGCAGGTGGAAAGTCTTAACTGATTTTCGTCTTTTCAGTGTTCATTATAGATATTGTTATACTAAAATGTTATGTGACGGGACTATTGTTATACTGAAATGTCACGTGACAGGACTAAGCATTTTGTTGATTGTTAAACTCAAAGACAGCTTTCTGCAAGCATGATCACGGTAGGTATAGTGTCCGGCTAGGATAGTGGTTTTTGGAGTGATTTGATCGGGTTTTTTCGAGTGTGACCACTTTTTTTCGAGTGAATATGATCAAATATGTAAACAAACAGACTTACTTTCTGAAAAGACGTGATCTAGAAGCTTGAGTTTAATATACAATTATATACAAGGTGTGTTAGTATTTGAGATAAAAAGATATTATCAATCCGACATTATTTTTCGTTCAAAAAATTGAATTTAGCCTTACAATGCTTTTATTCCAAAAAACAGAATAAAGCCATTTTTATACACATACCAATGCAAACATCGATGGAAATGCATACATGGAATCCATATATCCTTAGATATACAGACACTTTACAAAAATTATTGTTGTTGCATTGAAAAGCGATATTTTGAGACTAAATTCATTTCAATGTGTTCGGGTTTTTTCGAGAGCAGTCCGGGCTTATTCGAGTGCGTCCGTGTTTTATCGAGTGATTATACAAATTTCCTATAGCTTAGAATGTTGTGTGTCAGTGTATTTACGTTTAAAAAAAATAAAAAAGGGTTCAAATTATGTACTTTTTAAGGCACGAAACCAATGCATTCATCAGTTTAATAAAGGTGTACTAACACTTAGACTTTATAAACAAGTATCAGCCATCTGTATATATTGTTGTTTGTCACATCTTATAAATTACATGTACAGTATATATTCATGATGTCAACAATCTAATGTAAGCATAGACAATTTGGATTGAGACGTACGTACAAAGAGTGAATCAAGCTGATGAATTAATCATTTCATTGTTAACTATATATGAAATTTAATTCAGATGTTATTGTCAATGGGAATAAAAACTGGTCGGATTAAGTGTCTTTTAGAAATTTTTTTTTATTGCATATAAGAAAAGAAGATAATGAGACAACTCTCCACAAGAGACCAAAAGACACAAAAATTAACAACTATAGCTCACCGTACGGCCTTCAACAATGAGCAAAGCCAATACCGCATAGTCAGCTATAAAAGGCCCCGAAATGACAAACGTAAAACAATTCAAACGAGAAAGCTAACGGCCTAATTTATGTAAAAAAAATAAACGAAAAACAAATATGTATACATCAACAAACGACAACCACAGAATAACAGGCTCCTGACTTGGGACAGGCACATACATAAAGAATGTGGCGGGGTTAAACATGTTAGCGGGATCCCCACCCTCCCCCGAAAGTGGGACAGTGGTGTAACAGTACAACATAAGAACGAACTATAAAAATCAGTTGAAAAAGGCTTAGCTCATCAGATGGATACAAATACAAATACATCTAACAAAAACAAATGCATTTTTCTGATTCTTCTCTGCTGTCCAGTAGGTTTCTTACTCCGTTTTTTAATAAACAGCTGCGCCATGGGCGCATGATACGCCCGTCGCGTTTTCAAAGAATAAAGTTCATTCTCTTATGGTTGAGGCTTATTATATATTTCTTGCATGAATAGACATTTCTCATATCACACTGCACGGAGTGTGATACGTAAAAGTGAATTTCCATTGGCTATTCGTTAGGTTATTGATGACCATCAAAGGTTACGACGATGTACAATTCATGTGCAAAATACTATACCATCGATTTGCGGAGTTTTTGATTTGATACAATGAGAGTGTTGACCATAAGACAAATAGGGTTAACAACTTGTGAGAATGGGGTATCGCTTGATATCAACTCTCGTTATTTAATTCAAGTGAGTAAGTAAGTAAGTAATTTCCTCTCGTTATTTAATTCAAATAGTAATATAAACTCGCCGGAGCATCGTTTAATATTTTATTGAAATTAAATAACTCGAGTTGATATCAAGCGATATCCATTATCACTCGTTATGAAACCTATAAATAATTTCTCAATGTCATTATAATTTATAAAAAAAACTAAAAGGGAGGTAACCTTAATCTATATAAAGCAGTCACCAAAGTTTCATGAAAACTCCTCAAAGCACTTTAAAAATATTGTCCGAAAACTGTTAAATCACCCCTTTTTAGCTCACCTGGCCCTAAAGGGTCAAGTGAACTTTTCTCATCACTTGGCGTCCGTCGTCGTCCGTTAACTTTTACATTGTGTCGTCCTACATACGTCTAGAGTTTTAATTGCTGTTGAACAGTTCACAATCTGAGCAGCTTAATAACTGTATTTTAATGTTAAGGATAGCGGATCATGTGCAACGCAAACATTTTTACTGAAATCTTCTCCTCTGATACTTATGGAACAAGTTCATTACAGATAGAGATAACTGTAAACGGCAAGAATGTTCAGTAAAGTAAGATCTACAAATAAGTCACCATCACCAAAAACAGAAAATTTTGTCATTATTATATTTTTTATTAATGTTGTAGAGTGTCCTTTGTTTAATATGCACTACAACCCATAGACCAAGGTGAGCGACACAGGCTCTTTAGAGCCTCTAGTTTGTTAAGTAAATCCTGTAACTCGAAAACGTAAAATCAGGCTAAAATTTATAAAATTCGAAAGAAAAGTCAGAAATAACTTTTTTCTTATTAAAGTTTTCGTTAAAAAACCCGGACCATTTGTTTAAAAACCCGGGCGGTTTCACAGTTCCTCTTGAAAAAGCCCGGGCAATAACAAACACTGAATTTAATGGTTAAATACAAGGAAATTGTGCTTCTTTGCTACTCAAAACATGTAGATGGGTAGTCACGTAAAAAACTATTATGATTACGAATTAGCAGTTAATTGACCTGATCGCATGTTTTATCACTCGAAAAAGCCCGATCTACACTCGAAAAAAATGGACAGATTCACTCGAAAAACCACGATCCTAGCCGGACACTATACCTACCGTGATGATACATAATTTTTTTGTATTTTGTCACAAGCTGTATTATTCACGCTTAAAATTATCACTATTAGTTTAATTTACACATCTTCACATCGTGTGGATGACACCAAATGACTTACTTGTTTACCAGGCCAAATCAAATACCAGGATGAAGACCGTTAAAACCAAAAATTCCGAAAAGTTGTTCCAAAAACGACTAAAGCAATGTATGACTGGGGGATAGACAAACCTTACTGTTCCGAATAATTCAACATTTTATAAACAGTAATTTGTTTACAAATACATGCATACACGGCGACCTACATTGTAGTTGGTTACATACACGGCGACCTACATTGTAGTTGGTTACATACACGGCGACCTACATTGTATAGTTGCTTACCTCCACGTCATTTGGACTTTTGCACGTGCAGATCCACGTGGATAGTTGTGTCGTTGGTTTTCCCGTTTGAATGGTTTTACAATAGTAATTTTTGGGGCCCATTATAGCTTGCTGTTCGGTGTGGGCCAAGGCTCCGTGTTGAA